ATGTAGAAAATGACAATAAAAGCTGACTTGACTTGACTTGTATGTCCCACAATCATTTTGTATACAAAACGAAATTTCAATACATACAGCTTTTCAACAGTGAATGAGCAGCTTAGCAGCGGAATGAACATTTCCATTTATAAAGTGCAACAGTGATCAAAATGTAAATAAATATGGTTCAAAATACAGTAGAACACTAAGCTGAATTCTATTTAAAGGGATTTGAAAATATAAATGAAAATCCCTTTATTGTACCACAATGGTGAAATTCGCTCTCTGCATTTAACCCATCTCCTTGGGGAGCAGTGGGCTGCCATTGTGTGGCACCCGGGGAGCAGTGTGGGGTTAAGGCTCTTCCTCAGGAACCCAGAGTACCGGCTCTGGAGATCAAACGGGGTACTTTCAACCTTCTCATGCTCTAACCACTAGGCCAACATTCCCCCTAGAATAATGTAGTGCAAGCATGATGTGTACATGTAGTGCAAGCATGATGTGTACAGTGTGATGCAGAGTCTTGATTTGTGACTTAAATAGAGTTTTCAACAGTTCAACAGTCTGATGGGGAAGAAGCTGTTACAGAATCTGCTGGTCTTGCATTGAATGCTGCAAAGCCTCTTCCCAGGGGGCAGCAGGGAGAACAGTCCATGGTGGGGTGGGATGAAATGCCTTTAATGGAGGGAAGGGGAGCCCTGATGATCTTCTCTGCTGTACTCACCACTTTTATCACGTTCTTCCAGTCTGAGGTGCTGCAGCCTTCACACCACACAGTGAGACAGCTGGTCAGAAAGCTCTCTATGCTGCTTCTGTAGAAGGGGGTGAGGATGGGTGGGGGCAGATGGGCTCTTCTCATCCTCCACAGGAAGTAAAAGCGCTTTTGTGCCCTTTTGACCATTTAGGTGGTGTTTACATTCCAGGTGAGTTTGTCTGTGATGTGCACCCCCAGGAATTTGGTGCTGCTGATCACCTCTACAGCTGAGCTATGGATGAGCAGTGGAGCGTGGTTAGGCTGGTTCTTCCTGAAATTGTCAATGATCTCCTTCGTCTTCTCCATGTTCAGGATCAGGCTGTTATCTCTGCTCCAGCCCAGACAGTGATGACAGTAAGTCCAAACATTTGGGGAAACCCTGGAATGCAATGTAGAACCCCTTTTATAGGGATGTTTGGGTATCCATTATAGATCCGTGTTGTCTTCACAACCCCAACTCAGATAAGCTGAGGATGATGACTGCAGTTCAAAAACACCAAGGTCATTGGTAAACATGAGCAATATAGCTTTCATCGCTTGCCTGGGGATAGTGTAGTGCGTTGGCAGTGGTTAACCAGAATTCAGAGGAAAGATTTCATTAGCCGTAGAGAGAGGTATGCAGTCGACATTTCCTGCCTGATGATCTGGTACAGATACCAGGGGGAAAGAGCTGCTTAAAAAGGATGCTATTCCCATTTTATTTTAGTGTAACAACTACGCTTTTCCCTAAAATAGTGCGATCTGCTCTTATTATCCATATCCAAAGAATCTCTATAGACTATCTTGGATCACCACTGTTCTCTTTGGGTAACCTAGCAGGTTTTAAAAAGCATTTAGTTGTGTGGACAGAGGTGGGGATTGAATACCCTTTTGCATTGATTTGGGCATTATGCTTTGGATTAGTGTCCAGCTAAAAAATAAGCCTACAAAAAAGACAGATTAACTGTTTTCAGGCAGAGGCCACTATAGTTCCTGTTCTGTAAAATGTTCTGTTTTCTAGTCCATGATGCTACACAATTATATGTTTTCCCAGAGCTTTTGAAAGGAAAGGTATGTGGCACAACAGATTCACACTTAACTGGGGTCATTAGATGCTTTTCGTCATTTTTTCTATCTATCTATCAAACCTTCCTGGAGCGATTGTCTCTAATTCTTAGCTTTCATCTAATTGTTTGCAGTTACAATTCCATTATAGAGCTCTGTCTGTATGTATGAGGTGGTTGGAAAGATAAGGTATTTGAAAGGAAATTATCCCAAACAAATATTTGGCTCATTAATCTAAATCTAGTTGGTTGTTGTGGAACATAAGCTACTCCAACATGCCTCTCCTTGCTGAAACTATCACTGAGTGAGCTAATTTTTTACCTAAAGGAAGGCAGGTGAAGGAAAATTATTTAATTAAAAAATGTAACTAAAAATGTACAATTTTAAGTCCAAATAGAATCCAAACAACACATTGTGTGTTTGGAGAAGAAGACAGGATGATCTGTCCAGAAGTTGACTAAATGAGAGATATTTAAGCCGAAGAGCTGATTATTGAACAAGGAGCAGGTGGTTGATTAAAAACATGGAGTCGTGGATGTGGAAGACAGGTGCCTGAATTTCAACTGAGAAAATGGTAGAAAATGGCTGATCGAGTATAACAAAATTTAATAATTATATAGAGAGAGAATAAAACAAAAGGTAATCTTATAAATAAATAAGAATTTAAATAAATCAAGAAAGTGATTAATATGAAATTAAAGCTTTAAAAAAACAAATTTAACAAGCATAAAGTATATGTCATGCTATATTTATAACTAGTAAAAAACATGGGTTATTAATACTACTGCTTAAACAGTTTTAAAAGTCCTTTTTACATTGATTTTAGGTCAGTTTTTGGGGGGCACCAAAATTATGGTACTGGTGATTAAATATAAAATTCATAAGACTTTGCCTTTTCCAATGATTTAACATTCTTAATGGTAGCGTTCTTTTAATCTTTATTAGTGTTATATGGCCCTACAACAAATAGAAATGTTATAAAATTAAGGAAGCTTGGTTCTAATAAGTGTAGAATTATCCTAAACCTTTTATTTACATGTAACACTTTTTGGTAAAATAAAATGAAAACGCAAGGTCTTATGAATATTATTCCTCCCATTTCTCTTGGTAGATCAAAAATAAATCACGTATTTCAATTCCCCCCTTCCGTTTCTGTAACTTAGTGTCACAGTTATAATTAACATCAATGATAAGCTTTTTAATAGCTGCCACGAAGCTAAGAGTTAATCACAAGAGTCAAACACATCTTTTATTTTCATTAATCAGTAATCAAATGTAGTTCCTCCATAAATCAGAGACTTTTTGTACAGTGGCTGATTAGCAGGCTATGCATTATAATAGCTCTTCCACATTAGGTCTTTAATTAAAGCATATATCCAGAACATTTAACCAGATTTGATCAAATGTTCATGTCAAAATCATGTTTCTTATTTGTCAGAAACCCTTTTTATTGACAAAAATTTAACTGTGCTTAAGAATTATCAAATCCTGGCTTTTGACCAGAAGAGTAAGATTTGCCCAATGATACAAAACTGAGCATTTTTTCTGGGTTTAGATTGTCTCATTAAAGTCAGATTATATTTAGACTGCAAACCAACAGGCTCTTAGCTCTTTGTGTTTCTGTATAAAACAGTATAGTAAAGGTTAAATTGAAAAAAAGAAACACAGAACAAATAATGAGGAACAGTTTATTTAGTTTATGACTCTAGTAAGAATTATTTAGAACAGTGTATTGTTTTAATCTGTATTCAGCAGTTGCTGGGTGGTTGTAAAAGTACAACTTCCCCTGCTGTCCAGGCTGATTGTGCAACACAGGGCTTACCAAATTGCTGTCAGTGTGGGGCTTCATCGTAGTTACATGCACTCTCTGGGATTCATAATCAAGCTGAATCAGGATGTTGGGCTTAGTTAAAGAAAGCGAAAGCTAACAAGACAGTCCCAAACACAAAATGAGACAAGTTGGAACATGACCGGGTCCTGCACCAACACCATGAGATCCAGAAGCCCCTGCCCCATTAAAGTGCTTCCTCTGTTTGTTCATCGTACACACAGGGGAAGCTGCAGTGATTGGGCTATTTTCTTCTATTCAATAAAACTCACACGAGTGAATCAAGTTAAAGTCTCAGGAAACAGAAGTTGAAGAGAGATCTACAATTTATCCTATGATAAAGCTTTTACAGGGTTTCTGTATAAAAAAATCATTAAAAGTCATTAAATTATTATTTTTTAAATTAAGGCCTTAATTGGCATTAAAATTCATTAAATGCGATCATCGTAGCATTTAAAATGCTTTATTAAAAAAAAATAGATAAAAATTTCTAAAAACAATTTCGACAATTCGGGACATGGCTGCATGTCGATGGTCGAGATGAAGAAGGATTTTGCTGTGTTATTTATATTAAAACATATATATACTGCTATGTATATATCTATATATATATATACAAATAAATTATTTCTAAGAGCAATAACCAAGCAATAAAAGTTAATTAAGAGTTAAGATTTAATCATTCCTGTTTAAAATCTGTATTATATTATGCTGTAAAGGTGTATGTTGTATTACTCTAAGAAGAAAATAATGTTTTATATTTCAATATTTATATCTGCTTATATTAAGCTGAATCCATCGATCAATCCATTTCCTATACCTCACTTATCCTGATAGATTGGTCAAGGGGATTGTCTCTATGTCCAGCAGTCAATAGGATGGAGGCTGGGTACAACCAGGATCTGTGGACAGTGCATTCCATTTCCAAATACACATGCATACTTCAACAGTTGCAATAAAGTTTTCTAAATAAGAAGAAAAAAAAAGGAACATGTCAATTGGGAGTATAGCAGAAAATATTAAATGCTATAGACAGTTTTTTAAGACCAGGTACTAGAAAAAACTTGCTGCTCTCTGAAGAAAGACATTGCTCTCTAGATAATGTTTTAAAAAGCTCAGAGGTAAGACTCTAATTGCTCCCAGCCTTCCATGTTTCCAACAGCCTATTGTTTTCTCGTTTGTATAATCAGCATAGCCAATTACCAATCTAGATTTCTTCCCTCTTTGAGAATTTGATAACAAGGTTGCACGGTCAGTGATGCAGTAAGATAAGGAAAGACAAAATTAATTTCATGACTTTGCCTCTTGCCCGGGAGATACTTCGCTGCCTCGCACTCTGAAAAGAGCACAGAAAAGAGACATTTTCTTGGATTACTTTGAAAAATGTGTCAGACTTTTGTTGACCTATTTGGATTGAGAATGTTTGTTTCCTGCATAGGATTCGTAGGGAATATGTTTCTCATTGTTTCCATTTTCAAAACCAAAGTATCAAACATTAAATCTTTTGAGCTTTTTCTCCTGGGACTCGCTTCAGCCAACCTAGAAGAAATTGCCATCATAAACATCTATGACGTTGACATTCTTGAGACTTTTTCCACAACCAGCACCTGGGTGTGTCGTCTTCTTAAGTTCATGACTACTTTTGGCGAAATTGCCAGCATCTTCTTCACTGTCGTCATTAGCATCTACCGCTACCAGAAGCTGAGAGACATCAACAGCAGGGGCAGTCTCCCGATTTGCCTGGACAGCATCATATCTGCCTGGATGTTGAGTGGAGTTTGTGTGATGATTTCCACCCTCCTCAGTCTACCAATGTTAGTCATTAGTGTTCAAGGATCCGTAGAAAACATCACGGAAAACCTTGGCAGCTGCTCTACTGATTTTTTTCACTGTGGTGAGAATTATTGTCCCACCCGCAACCAAGTGTATAAATACTTGATCATGCTCCTGTGCCACCTGCTGCCCCTAATCATTGTCACCATCACCAGCTGCCTGACCATCACGGTGCTCCTGAAAAAGAGGAATACAGTGACGCCGCAGAATGGTGTTAGATACCCTAACCACCACAGTGGGGAAAGTCATGGACTTCATCGAAGTACAGTGGCTGTGGTGGCAGCCATGGGATTATTTCAGGTAGACTGGAGTCTTTATCTAATCCTTCAGTGGACTTTTAGCCTGAGTGACTGTCCTATTTGGTCTGAAATTGAGTTTTTTATCTCAACATCCTATGTGTCTATTAGTCCATATGTGTATGGCATAGGAAGTCATTTGTTTTCACTTGGGAAATGTAAACAATTGCTTAGGCTTTAAACTGGATTTAAATGGGCTATATGCCAAACTCTTTCCTAAACTTCAGCTGGCTCCTATGTTTTTTGTCTTTCATTACTGGACAGACTGATTAATCCAGGTATGTCTGACTTCAGTAACCATGACGACACTGGCCAGACACCCCTGGATTAAACAGTCTGTCCAGTAATGAAGAAGAGGAAAGAGAGGAGCTGGCTGAAGCTCAGGAAGTAGTGCAGTTTGGCATATTGCTTGATCATTGGAATGAAAGTTAAAAAAAGTCTCCTTTTTATAGAAGCTTAGTAAAATACTAAACCTTTAGAAGCATCATTAGTGGATGAGATAGATTTACATTCACTGCAAAACTATTGCCATGTTTGGGAAAAATATTGTTCTCTAATTTCTTAACAAGATTTCACCCTCTTTGCATTATATTTTGTCTAAGCAGCAGAAACTTTCCAACCAGCCCAGTAGTTGGATGACGTGCAGAGCACCTTAAATGAACTGAGTCTGCTTCTATCTGGAAGACTACTTAGTGTCTATATGTTGTTTTAAAGCAGCAAAGATGTTTTCATCTTAAAGCTCTTGATGACATCAATGCAGAACTCTTGTTGGGATTTGTTTGACATAGGTAAAATCCCAGCAGCACAAATCATCCAACAGTTAGTTTGGATGTACAAGTCAGATCAAGAATAACCCAATTATAATTGTTCAATATGTACTATAATGTAATTACCTATTAAACATGTACACTGCAACTGTCTTATTTCCTTTACTTTCATAATTTATACCCAAATATTTGTATTTTACTGAGCAACATCAATATAGAAGCTTTTTTATTTTTTCTTAATCTAACTTTATATTTCTTTTTAAACTATCTTGGTTTTGCCACTGTGGAGAAATACTGAAAATGATGTATCTATTTACTGCATTTATCCCCAACCTGGTACCCATATAAACGTGGACTGGTATTTTTGCACATATGAAAGGAAATAAGACAATTATAAGCTCTATTTAACCATGAATTCATCCTTGTTTTGTGTTTTACCATCACACGCAAGCTTTAGAGTGACCTTAGAAAGTCTATGGGTCAACAACACTAAGGAAGTTTTTTTTTATTGTTTGCATTTATTTGTGAATATATGACCGACTGTTCTGACTCAAAGAGCAGCTTTTGATATTCAAAACACCGTAAGGTAGCATAATTGAATGGATAACCAAGTTTTCTTATAGTTTTTGATTTGGGATAGTCTAACACGTGAGTTGCATTTTTTTTTTCTTATGAACAGACCAATGCATGTTGGGCTTATGGTCACTGAGCGCCGCCATCTTGTTAAACCCCTAGGCCAATCAGATTTGATGGCATTTTGTTAAGCCTGTCTACTTTGATTTAGTTGGGATGTCAAATATCTACTCCTGTAAGTTTGTAAATAGAAAATAATCCGCCCTTCCATGGAATTAGTTCATACGGACATTTTTGTTTTTTTGTGTTCAAAGCCATTTGAGCCACGCTAAACCCAAGTGACCGATAGATGTGTCCGAGAGGAGCGGCTCGCCCATTGGCTACTGGAGCTCTACCGCCTTGCTGGATGTGTGACGTCATATTGCCGATATGTGCGCGCGCGCGCGCGTGTGTGTGTGCTTCACAGAGGGTGAGAATGGAGATGAGATCTAAAAGGTTGAAGTGAAGGAAACCCACAGGAAGAAAGGCGAAGTGTCACGCCTTGCACAGTTCAGACCCAGACCAACTTGCTTAGAGTTGTCTCTACAGGCTCGCGGACGAGGAGCTCGAGGTGAGAATAAGAAGGAAATAATTATTATTAGAATGATGATGGTAAAATGAGCTCTTGGAGGTGGCTGGGCTCCCTCTTCCCTCGCGCTGGCGGTTTGGGAATCACGCGCCATTGAAGAGTGGGGGGGTGATACGCGATGTGCACGCGCTTCTGGCTCAGCGGCGTGCACAGGTCGGTCGATGGGAGCTCAGCGGCGTGGCTCTCGGCCTCCATTTGCCTGTTTGTGTTTATGTTCGAGGAATTTACCGAGGCTCGTTTGGGCGACCGGGAAGACGCGCAACAGTTGGAGTCCCGCCGCGGACGTTATCTTTCCACGGCGGCGGTGTGACACGAGGTGTGTGGCGGGGGTGCTGGGAGGGGGGGGCTTTTCACCAAACGGGCAACTTTTCCAACTCTGAGCGGCGGAGGGCGGCCTTCCTCCCCGCTGCTGCAGCGTGTGAGAAAGAAAGGTTGTTGTTTGACTACCGATATTAACAGCTCGTCTTTCTAACTAACCCTGGTGACATTTGTTATTAAAGGCTGTAACAACACCGGTAGTTACTCTAATCTTTGCTAACACCTTTGTTGTGAAGCGTTTCTCTGCTGGTGTGAGTGTGGGGGCTTGATGACTGCCGTTAACTAGGTTGATTTTATTTAAAGGTGATTTGATCGTAGGGGAATATAGACGTCAAATAAAAGAGGTTTCTTCTATTTATTCCTCGGGTTTCAAATAAAGATCATTTTAGTAAACAAACAATTTGAATCCTGTTAAATATTGCAAGAAGAAACTTGGCCCTCCCGATGAAACACTGAGTAAATTGACAAAAAAAAAACTGCTTTAAGGAAGTTAAATGTTTACTAATATAAATTTTACACTTGGTAGAACTTATCAACATTGGCAGGTCCTAAAAGACCACATGTGGCCTGTGTTTATAACTTTTTCAGGGTGGGAATGATTTGCTGTCTTTTTATGTTTTTTTTTTTTATTTTCTTATAAAGAAAAAAATAGCCCTTAATAAGGGATTTGTATTTGCATATTTTGCAAACATTCTCAATGAGTTTTGAATATGTGCAATTTGGGAAGATGTTTTCATAAAGCCGGGCATAGACTGTGTGATATTTTCAATATTTGCACGCATTTACAGCTCAAACTGTACCATGAAAGTGCAGAGTTTAAAAGTTTGCATCTCACGATGTATGTTCTCACACTTTGGGTCGACGCTCTGATGCAATCTACCTGCTCACACTGTACATCCAAAAACCACAAGTTGGACTTAGTGCCAAGACATGGGGCTGGTCGGTCTCGTCTGTTTAGAAGAAGAACTTACTCGTTTGCACATGTGCAGTGCTGGAGGTTTTGGTAAATCGGCTCGTAGCTCTGCATCAACACCAGGGTTTGCCCACCAACACTTTACGGCAGTCAACTGAATTTCAAACATGTTTGATTTTCTCCAGATCTTACGGTTCTTTGTCGGGAGGTAGTCACGAGATTTTCAATCACTGTGCGATGTTTTCAATTGTTGCATGCAGTTACAGCTCAAACTGTTCAACAAAAGTTCACAGCTCACGATGCACATTCTCGCGCTGTGGGCCCGACGCTCTGATGCGATCTATCTGCTCACACTGTACGTCCAAAAACCTCAAGACGGACCGATCACCGACAGATGGTGCTGGTCGGACTCGTCATTCTGGAGAAGAACTCCCTTGTTGGCACATGCGCAGTGCTGGAGGTTTTGGTAAATCGCCTTGTAGACGCTAGTAGCTCTCCATCAACACCAGGATTTGTCCACTAACACTTTACGATGGCGACTGAATTTCAAACATGTTTGATTTTCTCCCGACTTTACCATTCCTGATTGGGAGGGGGTCACGAGAGGCTGATCACCCCTTGTACACGACGCAGGACTCAGGATGAGGCTGAAACTCGGCCTGATCAAAAAATTCTCGCACAACTGGGGAATCGCCTGAAAAGGGCAAAAAAATCGTACAGTGTATGTCAGGCTTTATTGGGCGTAGTGATTTCTGTAACCCGGTGTCCCCATTTCATATTGTGGCTCTTTTTGTATTGCACCCATGCTTACTTACATTTCTGTACCTGTGTATTTAACTAGTAATTCACATTGTGGGGTTGTTTCATGTTTCTGGTGGTAGTTGCATTGCTTTTCTCATTATTTGATCACATTTTGTCCAGTTAAAGCAATCCCTGCCTCAGTGTATTCCTCAAGTCAAAATCGCTCAGTACCAGTCAGTATGGAGAATCTAGGTACAACAGTCTTAAGGGCTTGGTACTGATTTTGTATTTTGATTTGAGCCAACACTTAAATATACTTTCTGCTCCAAACCAGTGTATGTTTACAGTCGGAATCAAACTGAAAAAGTAAACATTTAATTAAGACAACAATTTTGTTTTGTTTTTTTCTTGATTCTCTAGCTTTTACTTCCATTCATCCTCCCTTTATTACCAACCAGCTTCCCGATCCTGCTGAAGAAAGCTACGCCGCAGCATTCTGCTAGCACCGCTGTGTTTCACAATGCAGAGGGTCTGTTCAGGGTGTTGTGCAACATTGGTTAAAAAGCTCCACACTATGGTCAGAAAATCGTGTCGGACGAGGTGGTGGCGTTTAGCGCTTATTGTAAGTCAATGGGGATGTTCACACCTGACACGATTTTACGCAAGGGGGCTGTGTAGGGCCAACTAATATTAACCCCAGGTTTATATTAAACGGACTAGGCACAAATACTGCAACAATTTCATGGGTCTGAGGGTGAAAGAAATGCAGTTTAAAAGTGAAACGAATCTGCTTTGGGGAAAAATACAAAATAAAGTCTGTTAATCAGAAAAAAATAATGAGTTTGGGAGTCGTGTGTGTATGTGTGTGTATATGTATATATATATATATATATATATATATATATACATAAGTGGGAGAGACTCGTGCAAAAAGCAATGAATGAAACTTAAAAAAAAATAGTGATCCTCTTTGAGCCTAGCAAAAACAACTGGGACAGAAGTTTATATATATAAAAAAATAATAATAACTTTAGGAGATCAAACGGACATAGTAAAACAGTTATCCTCTTTGAGCCTCACGAAATAACGGGCAGATAGAGCAAGGTAGTGCGGTTAGTCTTAGGCTTTATCTTCTTTTTGTACACACATAGTGTATACGAAAATAAATTTTGTTCAGTACAGCTATTAAGACATGTAAAATGTAAACAAACGACTATATGATTTACAGTTTCCAACAGCTC